TTTATTATTTAAAAAAAAATCATAATAATGTAAAACTTGAAAGAAATATTTTGATTAATCTGACTTGTGATTTTAGAATTAGATAGTTTTGGGATTGAAGTTCAATTATTAATTGTACTTCATTGATGAATTCTTAGAAATTTGATTTTGTACCATCAAACTTCTTAGATAAAACAATTTTTGATTCTTTAATGCTTAAATGGTATTCCACCATAAAAAAATAAAGTGATTTGGTGCAGATATTAAAGTATATCCAATCATTTTTATATCTTCACTTCCTACTAATATTATTACTTTTTATAATAGTAAATTGAATTGAAACATAGTAAGTATTAATTCCTTCAATTATTCTTATATTTGTGCCATTGTACTCTTTATTTTAACAAGCTTTGCCATGATAACACTAAAAAAAAAGAAGATCTTTAATATTGCTCAAGAAAAGTAGAAGAAAAGACTTGAAAATAAAAAAAAATGCTAATAACAATATAAATTTAGAAGATGGTAACCTAAAACTTCTATTATATTTTTGTATTATCAAGAGAAATAAATAATCCATTCTTAATCAAGAAAAGACAAAGCTTTGATATTATAAGTATATACTTGTCAATCTATTAAGAATAAGAATTCAAAGAAGATACATAAATAAGTGAAATATGTATCAAAGAGAGATGAAAAAATTAAATAAGTAAGTATGTATATTTAAGAAGAAACTAAAATAGCAATTTCTAAAAGACAAAAAAAAAACTAAAGGTCCTTGAAATCAAACTAGAAATAACAAATGAATAGATAAGAATGAAAAAGACTTTATTCTTGTATTTATATATATTATTTATCTAGGAGCTACATGGTAATATTTTAAAGAAATTTTAAAATATGTTTAATTTATAAGATATATGTCTTAACTTATAAGGCAAGTTTTCTATATGTGGATTACATGGTTAACTTATACTATAAGCTATCAACACGTGCAATATATAACTAAGTTGTTGGCTAAGTATTTGACCTATCAATCATCTATAGACACATATAAAGGTGAAATTATGTTTATAAAGCTTCTAAAAAGATTTTCTACAAGATATTATTAAATTCATTTGTTTTTGTTTACTTCTAACTATTGATATTATTTAAGTTACTATTGGAGTAACTATATATGTTTGTGACACTTGAATGGGTCACAATTTACAAGTTAGTCATTTTTACTTGATAATTATTTTCTTTGACAAGAGAGAAATATACAAACAACTATTTTTCATCAAGATTATCTTCTTTAAGATCTTTTTTTAATTGGCCATATTCTTAAGTAAAAATGTCACCACGCCATAATAGAAAATTCTTGGACCGAATATAAAAAACAACATCCCACACAAAGCCATGTCACACTTTATTTGTAGCTTGCTAGGCATCTTGTCTATATGCACAATTTCTACATTATACTTATCATTACAAAAAATAACCACAAATACATGATGAAAGTAGAGGCAAAAGTATAATATAATCTAAAATAAGCTTCTTTTAAAAAATGACTCCAAAATGCCCCTCATCAACACATTTTTTATAAGAGCTAATCAATAAATTGAATTGGACATTATTTATATCTCAAAGGCCAAAAAAAGGTACTAAAGAGCAACTTAGCAAAACAAATGCATGAGATTGTGGGAGTATTTGTGAACATGCTCAACATAGCCAAATACTCAATATTGAGATTAGACAACGCAATCCAAAGTACCAAACAAAGGCTATGTAGGAATTTGAAGTTGCTGCAGAAATCAAAAGATATCACATGAAAATCTACAAGGCACGGAATTTGAGCCTTGAATTCACCTAAAATAGAGATATAGTTATACCTTAAAAAATTTAAGAATAGATTTGCAATTATATCAGAAATAAAGAATAGATTTGTTATTATCAAAAATACATGGATATTCTTGATATTTTAACATATTTTAACATATTTTAAAGATATATTTGATATTTTTTTAAATAAAATTTATTTATGATTGTTGTAGAAATCAACCACATAGTAGCACATAATGAGTGATATTTTTTCTATAATACAAGTATAGTTTATTTTGTATTGTGTAATAGTAATACAACTTCAAAGAATTTGAATTAACATGACACCTTTTTGTTACTTGCAACCAAAGTAAAAAGGATTTTCAAAGAAGATTTTCAAGAATATTTGTAGTGTTATATCTTATGTATTCAATTATTGTAGCATTACTATTATAACTAAATATTTGTCATAATATACTCATCTTTTATTTCAATTTGTTGAAAGTAATATTTTAAATACATACTGATTTCAATAAGTTATAAAAACATAGAAACATTCTTTAAATATTTCTTATTTTTATTAATTTAAAACATGAATTGTTAAGAATTTAAAACATACTAATATAATTATATAACTATAATTAAAAATTAAAATTCATATTATTAAAATTTTATTAATGGCTAAGTTTTATGATTAGAATATATTTTTAAAAAATAAGATTTTAATACATGTATTTGAATTGCATCTTAATTTTTAATAATAATCTATTATAATATTTTATTGAAATACTTTAAATATATTTCTTTTAATTATAATATATTTATAAAATCTTCTTGAGTATTTTTTAAGTTTAGAGGTTATAAATTTATATATGCTTGTATTTAATATAAACAGTCAAATGTACAATATTTAGAAAGTAATTTGTCAATTTATTAGATATTAGTGTTAATATTTATTTAAAAATATAGTTTTAGACACACACAATTAGAATAGATCTTAGGCTGATTTAAAATATATTTTTCTTATTGATAGAAATTCATATATATATATATATATATATATATATATATATATATATATAAATTATAAAGATAGAAATATTTATTTGGAATATTAAAAATAATAAATATTATAATTTGTTTTACTTGATTAAATATATATAGTTGGATTATTTTAAATATTAAGTGAAGAATTAAAAATAATTTATAGCTATTAAGAAAATACACCTATATATAAAACATATTTTTAACTAATTGGAAGAAAAATAAAACATAGTGTAAAGAATATAAATACAAGAAAATTTATCAACCTATAATATAGTCATATATTATATTCTATAATATATGACTATAATTTATATTCTATAATATATTATATTATATGTATAATATAGTAATATATTACTAAAAAAAACCAATTTTATTTTACTTACTTTTACTTATTTCTACTTAATTGAATAATATAGATATTTATAAAATTATCTCTTGTTATAAAGTCAAGTCCTTTATGGAGTTATCAAATTCCAAATCATTTCACTGGTAAATAAAATTCAAGACTTACAAAATAGTATTTGCTACAAACTTTGACATATGCTTAACAAAAAAAAAAAAAAAAAAAAAAAAAGATCTTTTAAAGCATTAATATTTTTTCATATCTATATATTAAGAATATTTAATTATTTGTTCATCATTAAAGTGGTTATAATTTCTTTCAAATAATGCATTTGACTTAGTAGATAAAAAAGACAAGAAGATTGATATTAAGTAATTTAAAAATAATTTAAAAATTTGTGGAAGATATTTTCACATTTATTGGATTTTTTAAGACTTTGATTAGAATATTATTGTTATTATTATTATTTTTAAAATTTTATAAGATCTAATAAGAGCTTATTTTCTTAGCATTTAATTGTTTCTAATAAAATTTAGAAGCATTCTACAAATATTGAACTTAATTTTTAAAACATTAAAGTAATTGTAATATTTTAGAATATTGGTGGAGTTACAACCACTGTAATTAATAGAAATTTAGAGTTGATTTTTTTACTGAAGCATAAAGAGTTATATCAAATTATGTTTCAAATAATATAAATTTAACAAACATAAAATTGAGTTGAAATTCATTGTGCCCATCATATTTTAGCGCCCTTACTCTTTTTTTGGTTTGGAATAGGTGCCAACGGTTCAAGCACAGAATTGGCTTTTCTTATTACTAAAGTTTTGAAAACAAACTTTGCCAAAAAAACGTGATGCTGAGAAACCTCACAATCTTCCCGAAACAAACAGTGGCCGAATTCATCTTTTCCTGAAATTTTGCACCATAGTGGTAACCAGTCCAGTGACAGAACCAGGTAAAGATATCCAAGTAAATCCAAGACTCAAATCTAAACTGGGGGTCAATATCCTCTTGTTGTTATCTGATCCTTTCACGGTTTACAATAACAGAAAAACAGAAGGCGGATAAAGGTTGGATTTAATCCGTCACTTCCCCGCACAGGATTCTACGCGACCACAAATCTGCAGTAATTAAATTGGTTAACTATCTTCTCACCTTAAAAACTGTGTTCAGAAGGGGATCTTATCATATTCCAATGCCTTGTGAAAGGTACAGCAGATGATTCTAAGAATGCCGTGACTGAGGATCTGGAGTGTGATCTTCAAGGTATTGACGATGGAGAACCATCATCTTAGTGTTTGAACGAGGAATCAGTTGATCCGTTGTGACGGGTGATTGCGTTGACAACCGAGTAACGAGGAGATTATAATATGCTGATTGTGTCCGAGCTGCTGTAGTGGAGCATGCAGGAGAGTTCCTTCCATCCATTTTTGTAGTACGTTGCATCCAATTAGCCAGAAGTATTGTTGCAGGTTGTTGTGATCACAAATCGATATCGCGTCTTGTTGAAAAGTGCGCTGGTAGTAACAACTCTGCATCTTGAAGACTGGAGTACTTGGCACGAAACATTGAAGTCTTTCGGCACCTTCGGGAAGATGCAATGGGACATTCAACTCCAGCGCTTTTCAAAGTTCGGCCCATACCAGAGTTACCACGAATTACGAGCTCACGAAACGACCTTTGTTGCAAATTATTTTTTTCTGACATTGAAAATCTTAGTCATAAATGATTTGTTATGGTGAAAGAATGTTTCATTTAGTTACGATTTGTCCTAGACTACCGAGACTTTCCAGGGCTACCATCACAGTGAAACTTATATAAAGCCCTTCCATCCTCTCTATTAGCTACTACTCTCTATCTCGCTCTCGCTTTCGCATCGATTTGGCTGAGTGGTTTAAGACTTCCTTGTTCGTGTAATTTTCGCATTTGTTTGTCATGGATCAAGTTCCCCCATTCCAGCGTATATGCGTGTTCTGCGGAAGCTGTGGAGGGAAGAAACCCATCTACACTCAAGTCGCTGAGGATTTAGGGAATGAATTGGTATACAATCGATGGTGACTCATGACATCCTGAATTCTCGTTTTCCCACTTTTCACTGAAGTTGTTCCCATTTTAAAATTTTGCCTTGCTTTCGTGACACGACACTATGATTTGCGCATCCGCCACAGGTAAAGCGGGGTATCGACCTAGTCTACGGGGGCGGAAGCATCGGGCTTATGGGCACCGTTGCCCAGGCTGTGCAGGATGCTGGTGGCCATGTTATTGGGTACACTTTCTGTTGCAACGTTAGTGCATGTCGCTTTCTGTTTTATCGTACAGCCCTGGTTTGCGCCGCATTTGAAACGCTTGACCTTTCTCGTCAGAAAGGACAAACATCGATTGAGTGGATAATTATAGAACCCAAGTATTCGAATGTTTTTGTAACGTGATGGACAATTCATTCCCTGAAAGTCTGGTTGTATTCTTTTCCTTTATCACTGATTTTCACAAGAGCATCTATGTTTCTGCGTCGAGAACGGGTACACTGTGCGGTAACTTACTCGTAAGAAACCATGAACATTGTGTTTGCAGGGTTATCCCTATGGCTCTCTTGCCGAAAGAGGTGTGCGGGAAGACTGAAGGAGATCTTGTCGCTGTGGACGACATACATCAGCGGAAATCGGAAATGGCTAGCCGTGCGGATGCATTCATCGCTCTCCCAGGTTTCCGATTGCTCGTCTTAATATCAACCTTGGTTGGAAATTTGTCTTTGACATGAGATCGAGTCTTTCGCTGCAGGAGTAAGTGCGTTGCGTCTTAGACCCAACTCCTGGCTTCTACTGAATGCCTCCACTAATTAGACTATCCACCTGACGATCTATGCGCATTCGCAAGGCCATTGGATGATTATGCTGCCTCTTTCCTAAACTTTTTGGTAAAACATTTTCATAAATTATTATTTTTTAAGGAGGATTCGGAACTTTCGAGGAGTTCCTGGAAATCATCACCTGGGCGCAGCTTGGAATTCACAAGAAGCCAGTGAGTTCACCTCCACCCGCAGCTTCAGCCTGCGCAAGAGATTCCGGCCTAATTTTATATTAGCAAATTCTTCTTGAATTTTTCATTGCTGTTAAATCCTACAGTTTGGCGTAATTCATACCAGGGGTTTACATACAGATTGGTCTGCTCAACGTAGAGGGCTATTACGACTCAATGTTTTCGATGTTCGACAAAGCATTAAAGGAGGGTTTCGTCAACCAGGCAAGCCATAATATTGTGATTTTCGCACCCACTCTGGCTGAGCTGCTGGATAAGCTGAAGGTGATAAATCCCTCTCACCCGATCTATCACCGCGGTTGTATCTAAATTCTCTACCAATGCGTAAAACCTGCAGTCGGACTAAATTCATCACCTCAAGTATAGATCCAAATACATGTTGAATTTAGATCAAACACGAAAATCTGTTTTGCAGTCATACACTCCGCTTGTGGACATTAGCGTGCCGGAGCTACAGTGGGCCACAGTTGCAAGCAGACCAGTCAAGCGGCAACACAATGGTTCATCTGGCACTGCATCATCTGCAATGCGCGGATCCACGACGGCTGCTAGTAGCGCAAGCGGCGCGCGAGCATTTCGAGCGTTGCCCAACATCGTTAGCCTTGCCACAACTGGCGGTAGGTGCGGCCTCGTAAACGACGTTCGGTGCTCCGGTTTGCTTCGTTGCTTCCAGCCGCCTCATGCTCACCAATTCAACATCTGGGGAAAGCTGACGTCAATCTGCGGCGCCTCCGGCGTCTCAATGGCGGCAGTCCCAGCCAGACGCCCAGTGTGAACGCTAGGCCAGAAGCCTCAAAAGAATATATATATATTGCAGTTGGAAGAATGCTAAAATCGTACATTTTATCTTTTGTCAATGTTGAATGAAAATGATTTTGGTTGTGATTGTATTAATAAAAAAAAAAAGTTACTTTATTTTTAAATTGGTAAAATTTGATAATAATTAAATAAAAATATTAAATCTTAATTAGAATTTTATTTTTTATAAATAGATAAGGATATGAAACAATTACTTGAAACTGGTTTAGAGTTATTTTTTTATTATTATGTTGATTTGATGAATTACTTTTTGGTTATTATTTCATTATTAAAAACCAGCAATGTAAATTTCTATCTTATACATTAGTAGTTAATGATAAATTACTTTTAGGTCATATCTTTTAAAAGAAAATTTTGTATTGTTTGTTTAAATAAATAATAAGAATAATTTTATAATATAAAATTATTTATTTATAATATATTTTTTCTACTTATAAATATTGTTTATTTATTTTTTATAAACTATTTTTTATTAACATAAGTTATACATAAATTTGATTTGATTTGATTTGATTTTTTTTTAATAAAAGAAAATTTATTTCCTTTATTTTTTTATAAAAGAATCTAGTAAGTTTTTTAACCATCAAAATTAACCTTTACATATTTAAGAACTTATTTTTGAAATTTTATTTTATCTCAATTCAATTATGCATCTATATATATATATATATATATATATATATATATTTGATGTTTTTATTCAATATGATTACAAAAATGACTTACTAGTTACATTGATCGATTTGAAAATAAAATTAAAATTAATATTACATCCGTATGATCTTTTTTAAGTCTTAAATTTATAATTACTTAATATCTTTAAATTTCAGATATTTATTGAAATTTAAACACATGTAAAAAAAACAAATATCTATTATATACATTTGAATAATCAAATAATATTGACCTAAATACAAAAAAAAAATCTAACAAGAAATTATTACAAAGCAATTTAGTTATAAAATAATCAATATATTTGATATATGAATATCTCATATAAATAATATAAATTTAAAATATCTGGAATTATATATTATTATAATACCTTATTTTAGAACTCTTATTTTATCATATTTTAAAGAAATAGATCAACATAGGACAAGAAAACTTGATAAATTATTCTTAATCCTTCCTATTTACTTTGAAATATACTTTATTTGAAAAAATCTACTTGAGACTCTTAACTAAAGAGAAAATGAAGAATTATTTTATATAGAATTAAAAAATTAATTAATTTTAAAATAATAGATATTTATGGTAGATATTTTATTAAAAATATTAAACGAACAAAACATAATGTGTACAATATATAATGATATAATAAAAGATCTTTTGATATTAAGCTTAGAAAAAAAATTATTGATTAGCAAAATACAAGCTATACCAAGTATATGTCTCTTCTTGAAAATAAAAGCAACAATCTGCTTCATCAACTTAAAAAAAAAGAAAAAAAAGAAAAAAATATATAGTCAATAAATAATTATTAAGGATAAAAACTTTAAAAATGCAAACAAATATGTTAGATGTATCTCAAAAAAAGATAACAATATATATATATATATATATATATATATATATATATATAGATATAGATTTAAAAAGCTTGAATAGCTATTACCAAAAACAAGAAGGCTATAGACTCTTGAAACTAGACTAAAAGCAAGAAAAATATTGACAATAGTGGAAAAAACCTCACTTTAGCCTCTATACATACTATCTAACTATAAATTATGTATTGATGTTTTATAAGACCTCTAATACATCTCTAATTTATAAAACATGTGTATAATTTGCAAGACAAGTTTCTTATATGTATGCCACATGGCTAACTTGTTGGCTTAGTTTTCAACTATTAATCAATTATAAATACATACAAAGTCAAATCCATATCCATGAAGCTTTTAAAAGCTATACATAAGTTATTAAATTATTTATTTATTTTTACTTATTTTTACTTAATTCTTTTTATCTTGATAATTACTATTATTGATTATGTCTAATACTTTATCTTCTTTTTTAAGGACAAGTTCTATAATGAATGGTTTTGATGGATATTGTTGATAAAAAGTATAAATGTTTTTACTGCATGATTCATAGATAGCTTTCATATGCATTCACTTATATCATATTTATGTTAATATACAAGAAATTTCAAATTATTTTAGTATTTTTTAGATTCTAAAACTTCTTATATCTTAAACTTTTGATTATTGTTCACTCTTATAAAAAAAAATAGTGTTTTTTTCTTTTGAGTATATCCACTATATTATATGGCTCAAAAAAATGACATATAGAATATAAAATAAATCTTTATAAACCTTCATAGATATAATGCATATACAAGTAGATTGATCTATTCATAAATAAAAAAAATATTTCAAATTTATTACAATCAATCTTGTCACAATGACAAATAGTCTTAAAATTATAACATAATAACCATACCTTGTTGCCAATGTGGAATTAAGGTTTTTTCTTGCAATAGACATTTGTATTGATCTTTTGTTGTTCCTAGGATTTCTTAAATTATGCTTCAATTTTTATATGTAGCTCTAAAAGAAAATTTGCCAAATCTTCTATTGCAAAGTTATTAACTTTTAAAAAGTCAGAAGTATTTAATCATAGATGATAATTATAATTAATATAAAAATATATTAATTAAGTAGAAGAATGTATTATGTGATTATAGACAAAATTTGCTAATGCCAAAAAAGTTATCTAATCATCTTGATAGTTATCAATGGTGTATCTCAAAAACTTCTCTAAAATTTGATTCACATATTTTTTTTGTCTATCAATTTGAAGATGGAAGGCCAAAGATAATTTTATGGCTACCTTCAATATCTTGAAAAAAGTTGTATAAAACATACTAAAGGATGGAGGAGCACATTACTTTGTAGTTAAGCTCTTGGCTTCCACACAAAATGTAGATTGGCTGTCATACCTCTCTAAAGTCATTATATTTGCAAGATGACAAACATTTAGACAAATAAAATTAGGCTTAAAAAGGAGAAGTAAGGATTTGATAAAAAATAAAAATAAAAGTTTGGATGAATATTTAATCATAGATAAATTTTTAAATAGAGATGAAATATGTGGATAAAACATCATTTAAAGATGAAATTTTGTCAATAAATGAATTTCAATTAAATAGAAACTAAACTAAGATAAAAATAATAATTATCAGTAATAATAATGAATGTAATATTAAAAAATTTAACTATATGAAAATTTTTGAATGACCTATTATTATAAATGTGAATTGATATTAGAGATTTTGTTTGACTACATGGATGATTTCAGGAGTTTCAAGTGTGAATTGACTAAGATTTAAATGAGAATTAAAATTTCTAAGATTTCTATGATTAAATCACTTATTGTTAAATAGAATAAACTTCCAACTAGTCAAGATTTATTTTAGCTCATATTTAAGTAGATTTTTTGAGAAAATTATCTTATAAGTCTTAGACTTGTTTGAAAAGAAATTATTTTATTATTTTATATTTTTATTTATTTATTAACTTATTTTAGTACAATCTTATGGTATTCTTGTGGGTTGTTGTATAGGAATTTGGAGAGAAGATGGAGCTTGAAGGAATTTAGGATCAACTAGAAGAAAGCTTAGATGTAGACTTAGGAATATTATAAGGATTATAATGAATTAGGATTAGACAAGGATCTTCTTCAAAAGTAGAGTTCTTCTTTAAATTTGGTCATTACTTCCCCATCTTATCAATTTCTTGTTGATGGCCCATCTCTAGTAGTTGAAGGGATTTAATCACCTTCTCCACTCTTTGTATCTTTTCTTTTCATCTATTTGTAAAATCATTTTTGGTGGCAATTTTCTAATAGTAGAAGGATTTAATCATCCTTATTATTCACTATATCCTTTCTATTCACATGTGTAGTATAAAAAAAAAATCTTCAATTTTTTTAAGAGTTTACTTCACCATTAAATCAAAAAAAAAAAAAAAAAGAAGAAGAAGAAGAAGAAAAAACAGAAAAGAATTAAAATTCAAAAGGTTTTATTTTAATGTAAGTTCTTTTAGAATAATCCATTGTCATTTTAATTTTTTTTATTAAATTAACTTAATTTGTGGATTGAAAAGTAAGAAACTTAATACTTAAAAAGTAAAAATTAATTTTTTAGTTTTTTAAAATTATTTAAATTATTAAAATTTAGCACATATATTGTCATGTTATGTGAAGTCTACTTAAAAATGTACTAAACACCTAGCTATGGAAGAAAAAATAGAACTTGTAATAAGATGATTTTAATAACTCTAATAGAATCTTAAATAAATTCTAATTAATTTATAAAAATATTAATTTAATTTTAATTAAATCCAAAAGAAGTTTCAAGAATTTATTAAAAAAACATAAAGAAATAATAAATTAATCTTAATGAAATATATATAATATATAAATCTTTAAAAAATATCAAGAATAGATACCCTAATTGAATCCTAATCAAATCCTAATATAATCTTTAACAAATTCTAATAAAATCCTAAACCAATCCTAAATCAATCCTAATCAAATTTTAAACCAGATCCTATCAAAATCTTATTCAAATTGTAAATCCTAATTTTTGAACAATTTTAAATCAAATCCTAATAAAATCTTAATCAAATACTAGATTTTAAACCAATTCTAATTAATTCTTAAACAAATCTTAAATCTTAAATGAACTCTTAATAAATCCTATAGCAGATTGAAAATTTAATAACCAATGTTTGAACTATTGATTTTGACTCAAATGTTTTAATCTCTGCAACAACTGAATTAGCAATAAGCACAAAAAATTTGAAGAATATTGCAAATACCAAATGTAAGAAAAACTTCCAAAACCTCTCAATTATTGGTTACTCTTCTTCTTTGACTTAATTATTGATCTTTCAACAAAGATTTCTCTTTTTTAAACTATTCAATTGCTCCAAGACTTGGATTTTGTATAGAAATTAAAGTCTATATTGTTCTCATTAATTTTTGCTTCAATTGAATTGACAAATATTGTTAGATTAC